GTGAATCGTTTATTATTATGATCAAGAAAAAATTATTTTGTTACCCTCAATTCCCAATGATTAAACTTGTATCCTGGAGTATAGGTATCCCTGAGATCGGCTTTCGCCTTTATCCCAACCGAATTCAATTCCTTCACTACGTCGTTGATTTTTTCTTCTACGCGTTTCTTATCCTCTTCAGATGTCTTTACAGTTAAACCGCAAGGAATAACAATGACTTGAATAGAGGCGATCCGTGGAGGTAACACCAAACCTTTATCATCACCATGAATCATAACCATTACACCAATACTTCGAGTTGTTAAACCCCAAGAATTTTGCCATACATGAAGTTTCTTTGCCTTGTTTTCAGAGTTCGCAGGAGCATTAGGATCTTCAACTACAATATCAAACATTTTAGCAAAATTTTGACCCAAACAGTGAGAAGTTGCAGCTTGAATTCCACGCCCCATAGTTGGAATAAAACCCTCAATAGTAGTAGTGTAAAGTCCGCCGGCAAATTTTTCCTTTTCAGATTTGAGACCCTTGATAACAGGAACAGCTAATAAATCCTCATATACCTGCCGATAAAGCTCAAGTATTTGACGGACTTCAGCATCAGCTTCTTCTTTAGTAAAATGAGCAGTGTGACCCTCCTGCCACAAAAATTCACGAGTTCTAATAAAAGGTTCTAATAAATTATAACATTAAATGTAAAAACCAAAAAGTCAAGTAAAAGTTTTAGAAATTATACAGCAGCTTTAGATCATAATGAACCTTTTTATAACGAACTTACTCTATAACGAACTTTTTTTTTTTTTTTTAAAAAAAAAAACATTAAAGTTCGGTATAGAAAACTTTTTACCATAAGAACGTTATAAATAAATGATAAATTAAATATACATGCAACTTCATGGTTATTTAGAAAAATGTTAAACATACGAGGTTTTTTGAATTCCCAACGAACAACATTACACCATTGATTGAGTTTTAAAGGCAAATCACGATATGTTCTGATCCATTTGGAAAAGTAAGGATACATTACGGTTTCAGAAGTAGGACGGATAGCGATGGGATTTTCCATGTCGGAAGATCCTCTAAAATTCATTAAATAATTCAAATATTAATAACTAAATCTAACTGAAAATCAAACCCTATTAATGCTTACGCTTTAGTAACCCAAGCTACTTCCGGGGCAAAACCTTCGATATGATCCTTTTCTCTTTCCAATTGTCGTTGCGAAACAAACATTGGAAAATATGTATCTTCTACCCCCAACTTTTTGATGGCGGAATCAAAAAAATCTATCATTAAAAGTATTAAAAATAAGTCTAGAACACCCAAATATTTCAATTGTTAATATAATAATGAATTTACTTTGAATTTCTTGCCAAATATTATAAGCCAATGGTCTGATAATATAACATCCAGAGACTTCCTCGTAATATTCCAACATTTCTGAGCGTTTCAGGACCTTAAAATACATTACTAAATAAGTAATACAAATGAAGAATATGCACATATACGACTCAAAACGAAAGTAATGCATACCTGAGTATACCATGTGGAGAAATCGGCATCC